TCACTGTGCCTCATGTATGTTCCCTGGTACTGGTTTTAGCCATGGAGAAAACTCTTGGTTGGATAGCCAATTTTCGTTACATTTACACTTGCTCGTATTTTCCAGACAAAAGGTTAATGGTGCATCTCCCAAATGTCCGCTATCGGGACGGAACCAATAATGGCGAGCCGTTTTTTTTAAAGAATAATAATTTTTAAAAAAATTTTTCGGTTTTACGTTTTTTTTTGGTTTCCAAATTAATTGTTATTAAAATTATTTTATTTTTTGTTTTTTTAAAAAACTAAGACATACGAAAGACTGATTTAAGACATTTTAATACCAATTAAGGCCTTAGTTTTATTTTTTAGAATTCAATGCCTTTTAAGACTTTTTAAGGACCCGCGGGAACCCTGATTTTAAAGCATTTTAAATGCCACAATAATCACATTTAATGAACTTTAATGCCAATTAAGGCCTTAATTTAAAAAATAATAATTTAATGACCCGCGGACACCCTGTTATAGACATTGAACCCCACCTCAAGGTTATTACTGGATTTAGGCCTGCTTAAGGCAAAATATTCACCAAAAGAAACATAATTTTCCAGTAATTTTGACCTTCCAAGTTTCTTCCAGCGTGAAAGGAAAAATCCTGGAAAAAAACACCAAGAAACTTCCAACCCCGAAAAGCTGTTTTGTTTGCAGCGTTTACCAGTGCTGTTGAGAGGCAGAGGTCGCCCTGGCTTGCTCTTTACAGCCGTGATGGTGGTGACCACGGTGCCACAAGGCATGACGGTACGGTCCATCTCCACCCTCTTACTGGCAGCTGGGGTTGGAGGTTGCCAGGACCGCACCTCGCTGGGCTCTAGATAGGTAAACTGGAAGGTTAAAGTCAGGTTAGTGTTTTTGTTCATAGAAGAAGAAACCACACTCATCAGCTGAAAAGGTCGGGTGGGCCAACCTCAGTAGTCAGTGATCCAGTCACTGTGTCTTTGGTCTTTAGTGCAAACGTCTGCTGTCCTTTGGGGTGCTTCTTCACAAGATCAAAAGGCAAACACACCTGACCTAGTAAAGAGTCTGAACCAGCAAAAGAGCCACATTATGGTCCCCGCTGCAGCACATCCATGGACAGAAAGTATCACCCAGAGATGCCTTACCTTCTGGAGGAAGACCGTCATTCAACACCTGAACACAGAGCTCTTTTGATCGTCCATTCAACTCACTGGAGGTAAAAAAAAAAATTAATAAATAAATAAACGCAAATACATATCAGGTTGTACACATATAGTTTGTATCTTTATAAAAGTGATAACTTAAGTCGGGGAAACGGTGTCAAACCTACAAGACAAACGGCTGATCCCAGGTAGGATTGGTTGTGTTCTTCATAACAGATGTGCTAAACCTCTGTGGAGGATCATCCAGCTGCAGAACACACAGAGGATTGATGCTGCCTGCAGACACAGAGGAGATCAGATCAGCCACTGACAATTATTTAAAAGTCAGGAAAAAGGATGATAGGCATATTAATAAAGTAAGAAAGTAATGTTTATTGATATAGCACCTTTCATAGACATAGAGGTAACAAAGTGCTTCACAAAATTAAAATTAGGGCTGGGTATTTTCGCCAAAGTCCTGAATCAATTCAACTTTGATTATTCAGTTCTAAATCGATTAATTTTGATTCGATCTGTTTTTACAATAATGAAAGTGGTTCAACTGTGTTTCAAAATACTGATGTATTTTATGTTTTCCTGTCACATTAAGCACAAAGTGCAAACTTGTAAATCGGACAGTTTAAGCTTGAGATATGAACAAAACTCACAAAACTGCGTCTCATAAGTGCAAACTTGTTTGTGAAAAGTGAAAAAGTGAAGCCTCACTCGAGCGGGCAGACGTGACACAGCAGACATGCATGGGCTGCATTATCTCCACTGCACAAACCATATTTGCAGCGTTGTCTGTATCGACTACAGGGTTTTTGCTGGTCAGCCCCCATTTGTTAATGTCTTCAGTCAACCTATTGGCTATATTTTCAGCTGTCTGTCGTGAAGTAATCTTGAGTGCATCTTTCCTGCTCACATAAAATATATTTACAGTCACAAAAGACGTGGTCATAAAACATCCCTCAATCTACTGGAATTAAAATCCTTTCTTAAACAAATAGGTTTTCAGTTCACTCTTAAAAAACAAACAGAATCAAGTTAGCGCATGGAAAGAGGGAGGTCGTTCCAGAGCGCCGGCGCGACCGCCTGAAAGGAGCAATCTCCACAGGTCCTGTAAAGAGTACCAGGGACCATGAGCAGGTTCAGGTCCTGAGACCATAAATCAGCTAGATTAAAAGAGATTTCAGCATCAGAGCAATCGACTTCTATTGGGGAAAATAAAGGCATTAACAATGAGGCCTGCAGCTTGTTTTTGCTGTTTTGGGAAGAAAATCCTCTCAGATTAGGCCGACAGCATGAACCAAAAATCTCCTTCTTCAGCCCTCCTCTGGATGAGCCGTTTCCGCTTTCCACGCCCCCCTGTCCTCCCGAATGCCACGCCCCCCGAAACCATGACAACCACTTAGTTCGTAAAGATAGCCTAAGAGCGTGGAATAATACAAAGCTGTAGCTTGATCAATAAGCTGCTACATATCTCTCTGGACAGCTTATTTCCCTTGATGACATCATCAGGGGAAACAGAGCATCTTAAGCACACTTTAGATAAAAGATGGAGAGAGGCAATGATGGAGGTGAAAGGATTTAGTTCCTTTGTGATTTTCATACACAGGCTTCAGGACACCTATCGCTGTTACAAAATGTTTTTAAATTGAGTTTTCCATAATATGGGACCTTTAAAGAGTCATGGGGGAGTGGTGGCCTAGGTATTAGGGACTAGAGCTTAGATTAGATTAAATTAGATGAGCTTTATTGATCTCACAGTGGAGAAATTCACTGGTCACATATTGGCATAGTACTTAAAGAAGGTGCAAACAAGGAGGAAAAAGTGCATTAGGAATAAAAATAAAATAAAATAAAAAAATAAAAATAAGAAAAATACAAGGGAGTAACACAGAGATTTGAGGTGACATATGTACAATCAGGATGGCTTATATATAGGTGGATTGACTTTACATTAAAGTGTAGTAGGTAAGGAACAATGGTGAAGTAGTGGTATGACTATTATCCCTATTATTGGACTCCTGAGGTTGTGAGTTTGAGGCCCACTCTCACAGACTGCCACTCTGGGTCTCTGAGCAAGACTCTTAACTCCATACTGCTCCCTGAACCCCTCACGATGGCAGCCCACTGCTCCCCAAGGGGATGGGTTAAATGCAGAGGTAAATTTTTCCAATGTGTGATCAATAAAGTTTAATCATTATTATTCCTCTAATAGCACAGAGAGGATGTTATTTAGGTTTTCAAAGTGAATAACTGACAGTATTCTTTAACAAGCTCATAATTTTACTGTCGTCCTGATACCTGGGAGCGTCGCTCCCTCCTGATCACATCCTGCTCTGTCCGACATCACTGGGTGTGGCGCAGCTGATGTGGGTGTTACTTTACAGAGCAAACAATGTTTAGCTGAGGTTACAGAGCAGAAAACACAGACTCCCTGCCCTGGACTCCTGCATGGGCAAAACTAAACTACGTTTAGGTCGATGTTCATGCAGACCGTCTTTAGTTAGGTAAAAAGCAAAGCATCCATTCAGAACTCTGTCTCTGCATCAGTCCGTCTGATTCTGCTAATTAGAGAGATCTAATTTGCCTCCTTCCTCCTGTTTCAGGAAACATTTCCTTCCTAAATGAATCAGAGCGCTGCACAACAGAGTGAGATTATCATCCTAACAGGCTGATAACATGAGCTGGAGCTAACCTGTTTTAATTCATAAACATGTATAATTTGTTGTTTTTCTGTTCAGTTTTATTTTATATATTCAATTTAAAAAATGTGTATGTAGAAGAAGCTTTACTGAACGGCAGAAGCTCTATGATAAACATGGAGCTTACGATGAGGTCACACCAAGTAGCTAAATACTACCTGTGGGAACAAGCTGGTTTTAAAACAGTTATTAAAGGAAGATATTACACCTGGTGATTCTCCTATAAAATGAGCACTAATCGTTGAACAAGGTCCATGCAGGAAGCTACACTATAGTTAGCCTGTGGTTATTAAAGAGGTACAGCCCCAGACTTTTTTCAAACATTAAATTTATAACATTTTTATCCTGTGTTATTAGGTATTTTAATTTATTGAACTGCAGAAATTCAGCTCCAATTGTGTTAAAGGAAAAGTCCGGTCACATTCAGAATATAAACTTCTGAAAGTACTTTAAAGTTGTAGGGAAGTCATATTTAAATGTCAAATCATTCTGGCTTAAACATGTATATAAACAAACTCTTTATTATTGTCCCAAAATTTAGAAAATTTCTATTCGCGGTGAGCTTTTCACAGGTATGATGCAGATTTTTTTTTATTTATGCCCAATATTGAAGCGTGGTATGCGCTATGTTATTCCACATCACAACGCAAGATGGACAATCAGGAACTAGCTGTGGGTCTAGATACGGACGAGGCGGTTAGGAAATGGGGGCAAGTTTGTGCGACAACTGAGGGACATGAGGGTGAAAAAGAGCGGGGATCCAGGTGGAAAAAGGGTCCCAGCGTTCTCGCACACCTCGCTCTTCTAGCTGGTCCATCTTCAGGAGTCGTTTTCCACAATGGCGGTCATACAAACAAAACAAGCTGGTAAGGCACCAAACAGGAAATATACATAGTGTAGAGAGGATGTAGATTTGCCTTTATTTTAACATGTTTTAACTCATTTTTAGATTAAATCAGATTAGCTGGTTTAGTGTGATTTTTTTAATTTATTTTGAGCAAAGAGGAGATGAAAGTCACAGTTTCTATTTTCTATTTGTCCAAAATGATAACCATGCATCTTTTCCCTAGACCTAACAACGGAAGGGGCGGGGACGTCTCTGCGTTCAATGTGACACCTACGCAGACGACCTGGTTTCGAAGTACAAATCAGCCTTAAGGTTTGCAACAAACCTAAATCTACTGCTGCAGACTGAAACATGCTAAAGTGTTTCCCATTAATGAATGAGACTGTGGCGGCCCGCCATAGAGATACAAATTGTTTACGGCCGTAACCAAGCGACAGGAAGAATGCGAGCCACGCTCATGGATGGTCAGTGGCGGTTCTACTTCCCAGGCGAGACCCACTCCAAGCGGCAGTTACATTTTTTACGTAGCGCGTGTCCAGCCCTCCTTTATAAAAATGCCAACCCGGCTGCCCGGTTCGCCCGTGCAGTGTTGCCAACTCAGCGACTTTGTCGCTATATTTAGCGACTTTTCAGACCCCTCCAGCGACTCTTTTCCAAAATGAGCGACTAGCAACAAATCTAGCAACTTTTCTGGTGTCACTGGCGGCTTTAAGAGACTCTTAGGTGAAGCACGTATCTTTCCTAGAGTTCCACTCAGCGCTGCAGTCAGAGCCACAGCATGTTTACCCTCAGGGAGCTAGCGGGATGTAAATGTAAAATGTTATTTGGTCTAAAATAAATAACTGAATTTGAAATGTTTTATCTTAAATAATGGCAACAGTCACTTAATCAACTTGTCCATTGTGTTTTCCTTTCTAAGATAGTGATTTGTAGGCTCCTTAGTGGACCCAAAGGGAAAAAAGAAAAAAAGTGTAAAAAAAAAAAAAGTGGCCTCAAAAAAGCACTTAAAGGGGAACTTTGTTTTTTTTACATTGGGCCCTTGATTTTACGTTATTACATCATGTTCTACTCACCCATGTGAGTTTTGTGTCATTTGGAGCTGTTCTGAAGATATTCTGTTAGGTAGAACATGATATAATAACGTAAAATCAAGGGCCCAATGTAAAAAAAAAAAAAAAAAAAAAAAAAACAGGGTTCCCCTTTAAGTGGGTTACACCACACTTAAAAATGTGCAAAACCCCCGAAACACTGATGCTAAGAACACAGAGAAAGGTTCTGTAAAGCGGAACCATGGCCAGATGAGACGCTGCTGGAGCTTTTTTTCTATTTAGTCATTAGACAGGACATGAAAACCTGTCACTATTTCACAGCCCTCATAGTTTTTAGTCTACGGTGGTTTTCTGTCAGTTTCCTCTGAAGGTAGAAACATAGTTTTACTCCCCATGGTGGATTCATGGTGGGGGTGTTGGGAGGATCCAGGTGATATGAAGGAGGTCCAGTTCTGTTAAACTTGCCTTACAGGACAGGAACGATGAAACTGAGGAGACTTGCAGCTTACCTGCAGCATCCTCCTCCTGATTGAGTGTGACGCGGGTGTTTTTCACAAGCAGCTTCCAGTCGTGGGCTCGGGGGGGCTTCGGAGGCGACATCACTTTGCCGTGAGTTTCCTGTTGGAGAAACCAGACAACAGAAAACTTTAGCGACCGATCCAACCAACCAGATACACTAACAGCAAGCAGAGCACTCAGTCCAAATCATTAGGATCCAAAATTGGCATTAAAGCTGCAGAACTGATGTCAGAAAATCAACAGAGTAACACTGAGCCGTAAGATTTGAATAAATGTAAAATATAAGAGAGTTAAATGGATGTAATTTCTTAGCTATGACTAAACAACATACACATATGTAAATAGATAAATACTCAAAAACCAACAGAAATTTTAAATTCGGCAAATCTACAAGAGAGCTACACTGACAGGTCAGAATAGAGGAGCTTTATTGGAGAGAAGCTGTATGGATCCTCAGCTCAGGATGGAGAACATTAACGTTTTGCGGCTGCCTACAGATCTGGGCTTTGAGAAATAATCCTGAAGACCTTCAGGAAAGCTGCAGACATTTAGATGGAATAAGATGATATTAAAATCTAATTTCTGGCCCCACATGCAAAAGTTAAGGAAACTCCTGAGGGATTTTGCTTTAATGCAAAGGCAAACCTGGAAGGAAAGATCTTAGAGGCTTTAAAACACCTCAGACTGAGCAGAACGTTCCTCTTCCAGCAGGATAATGACCCTAAACATACGGCTGAGGCTGCAAAGCAAAAGTTTGAATCAAAAACATAACAATATGTCAGAATAGATGGGTTTCTATCAACGTTGTTTTAACCTTAAATAGCGCCTTAGAGGAGCATGATGGAAGCTTTCTAGGTTTGGAAAAGTTTTTATGCTAATCTGTTGTTCTTTTTTCTAAAGAAGAAAATCTGCTAATAAAGATGGAAACAGATTTTTATCGCATCGGTTCTGAACATTAACCGAAGATCAGCTGTTTCCACCGGCAGCGTCTGAAATGCAGGACTAAAATCATATTCTCTCTACGTCTCCGGATTATAAGAACCATCACTAAAACTAGCCGACATGATAAAGTAAATACAACTTGAACAGATTCATTCATCAAAACTTTGCTCCATTACTGATCTGTAATCTGTTCTGCTATCTCTACTTCCTGTTTATTAAAGCTGAAGGCAACATGAACATGTGACCACATTACGCTCGGCAAATATTTGGTTAATTCCTCCTAATGGATGGAAACACATCTAATAAGCATTTTTTACCCTCACAGTTTTCAGGACATAGATGGAAACGTTGTTCTCCATCAGTCTAGATGACGTTTTCCAGAGTGAAGGAAGCTGAATGGAAATGCACACCGCACTTTTCAGGTTTTGCTTGTAGAAAAGCTCCCTTCTAACTCAGATTAATGAACATTGTGTTTGGAAAGTACTGTTTTTATTAAGCCTAAAAAACTATTCAGCTAAGGACTAAACCAACATAATGTTTAGAGAGTCTGGCTCTGAGTCATTTTGTGTTTTAATTCTGTTTCCTTAATAGTCAACTTAATGTCACAATCAATCGTAATCTCTTTAAAAAAGAAACTATCTTTATATGTTTGATTGCGGCTTTCAGATCAAAGCTGTTTTTAGTGAAAGCGCAGAGCAAACAAAGCAAACAAGATCCTCCTGAATGAGGGAAGAGCCTTTGTCTGACCTTGCGCTCTGAGGCCTGAGCAGGCCTGCAGCTCAGCAGCACAGAGGGACGGCTCGCACGCAGCAGCTGCCTCAGACGCTCCTTTAGGGCTGCAGCACTGCAGGCGTTAGCAGAGTCCTGATGGAGAGAGAAGATTCACAGCTTATTGAAGGATGGGAACCTTGTTACCTTTTTTTTATGGAACATTTTTCCACTTCCTGCTGATCAATCTTTATTTAATAAACAAAGATTAACTTCATATTTTCTTTTTTTGTTTACCATAAATACAACTCAGTGGGTGATATGCTTAAGTTTCTTTTATTAAGCACATATTCATCAATAATTCTATGAAAAGCAAATATTGAAAATACTTAGAGATTAAAAACAGACCCAATCAATCACAAGATATTCAATAAATTATTAAATGAGTTAAAATATCTGTATATGCAGCTTTCACAAGCAGCTAATAGTGTTTTTAATCTATTAGTATAAAAAGATCTTAATTAAATTGGTTGTTTAATTATTTAAAGAAAAAAAAAAAGCATTTTTATATGCATACATAAACACAAACACCTGCTTGTTAAACCTGGTTAGCAGGCGTTAAACAACCTATTTTAAAAAGAAGTGCTAGTTTCCTTCAGATTTACCTGTGTGAGGACGGGGGCGACATGCAGCCCCTCGACGTCCAGATGGGACACTTCCCAGCTCACTTTGATCTCATCCTGGACTTCCTGCATGTGGAGCTGAAGCTGAGGAGCAGAGAGTAAACAATGGTTCATCACAGAGTAGCAACACATTGCAAAAATCATAAGAAAGAGGAGTTAAAAATTCTTAAATTAAGTGTATTTACCCCTTAATTTCAGTAGGTAAAAAAGATGATCTGCCAATGGAATGACTATCTTTCCTCTTAAAGTTAGATAATTAGATAAAACTCACTTGAAATAAGACAATGTAATTGTTTTCTCTTATTTTAAATGTAAATTGGCTTGTTATTGGCAAAGTGTCTCACTTACCATCTTAATTCAAGAGCTAATGCACTTATTTTAGGAAAAAAATGACTCATTTAGATAAAAAAATTTTGCAGTGCAGGAAACTTCGCTGCTCTCCAGTCATTATAGGTACCTCAACAAAAGCATCTACTTTCAAAATAAAAGCCTTTCTGCAGCTTTTATTTGCTAATATTCAGAGGGAAGTGGTTAGAGGATTGCGCTTGGAATACTGAGGTTATGGGTTCAAGTCCCACTCCAATGGACTGCCACTCTGGGTTCCTGAGCAAAGAGTGAATTTCATTGCTCTGTACTTGTAATGGTCACCGTTACAAGTGCTCTGTACTTGTAACGTACAAGTACAAGTAATAAAAAACCTGCAAAAGAAATAATATCAAGATGGTAATTATGCTGCATCGACCAAACATGTAATGATTTAGGTTTTGGCCACGTTTGGTCCAGCCCTAACTGCAAGGAGAGGAAGAAGGTAAGTAATACTAGAAGGAGTATTGGGGCCACACTGAGATATATATTAGTGTTACACCGATACCAGTATTGGGAGGACCCTGATCCAGCACTAAAATGGTTGAATCATTATCAAATAGGGCTTCGATACCATTTTGAGAGCCAAAAGTTTATTCAACTATTGTCACCCATATATCTTATATATATATAAATAAATTTAAATTACAGAAAAAAAGTCATAATTACAAGAACAAATTCATAATATCAGGTTTAAGAAAAAAAAAGTCAAATTTGTACCTAAAAACCAAAATAAGTCATTAATAAAAACTCCCCTGAGTAACTTTGTCCAGTGATGAACAAACTGTTCATTTTTTCCCTCTCCAGCCCCATTAAGCTAAATATCAGAAGAGCAGAACATAACAAGTGTCTCAGTAACCATAACATCACTGGATAAACTGGGTTCGTGGCCAAGAAACTCTTCAGATCCTAAACCCAGAGAGAATTATTTTTTCTAGCCCAAACAGCTCAGGCTGCGACCCCAAAAATAAGCAGACAACAAACTGGAGACACCCTAAAAATAAATGTGAGTACTTTATATTTATACATGCAATGTTTTCTTTGGCAGCCGTTTTAGTCTTATGGAAAAAAAACAAAACTAATTAGTTTTAGTCAAATATGTCATTTCATATGTGAACGTTTAGTAAAGCTTTAGTCTGATTTAGAAAATAAAAGATTTTCTATTTGTACAAAAAGTTTACTTCATATAAATGTCAACAAGTGAAAATAAATATATATATACCGCATGTGTGTCGTTTGCTTCTTCTTTTAGCCTGCAATGCGCCATACCCTACAAACCCAAAATCCAACAAAAGAAGCCAAAAGACCCCATTCCTGTTCGTCGGTTCCAATTTACATGTTTTCTAAGCCAAAACAAGGCTTTGTTGGGCTACTGTATAAAACCTCGAACTCAACGCTATTCCTGACATTTTGAATTTAAAAAGCTTCCTGCATGGGAAGCAAAACGTCTTCAAACTTCCAGTGGATTGTTTTTAATTTTCTTTTTTGTAAAGACTATGACCCGGATGACTGAGAATCTTCACCAGCTTTCAAATTACATTTAATTATTGGACTAATCATCCAAAATGAATTTTTAATTATCTATTGTGACATTTAATAGTTAATTTTTTAATTTTATTGTATATTTAATATTTAGATCAAGTAGGGCTGAAACAATTCAACGGAGTCATCGATTATTTTAATAATCGTCAACTAATTTAATAACTGATTTATCGTTAAATGGAGCGTAGAGACTCTAAAACAAGCCTTTAGCAAAAAGAGTAAAACACTTAGAGCAGTAAGTATACCAAGATTATACAAAAATATATCAACATTTTACATTTAAGATAAAAAATATTGATATATTTTTACCTATCGATATGTTCTATCCGGAACTCCTCAAATGGAAAACTTTTAGTTTCACTTGTTTAAATTTTGTAAAAATTATTTTTAAGGAACTTTTTTCTATTTGATTATTAATCGATAAATGAAAATAAATAATCAACAGATTAACGATTTGCAAAATAATCGTTAGTTGCAGCCCTAATATTAAGCCTTAGATTAATAGATGTTCCATCAACTTATTTCATGTTATTTTAGCCATCTATACACCCCAGAAAGCAAATCACAATGATTGTTGATCTATTTTTTTTATGACCATCTATCCATCTAAATTCTGAATGTTTAATTTCGGTTCACTAAGACTGGTTTCTTCCAGCCCTTCAGGAATTATAACCCTTCTCTGTCTGTAGAAGAAACCAATAGAGTGGGTAATGTGCCTGAACAGGTCTGGATTCCAGTGTGGGACTGATGCGATGCAAACAATGACCTTATCAGATACCAACAGCAACATCACAGCCTTTGACGGAAACAGACTGATTTCTGGATCAACCGACAAACCCAAACATCGTTAATTATGATCGCTGCAAAGGAGAACTGTGAGCGATCCAGGAGGAAGTGTTTGTTTTCAAAACAGCGAAGTGAGATTGTTGTTTTAGACATGTGGCATCATTATGATGTGGATATTTCCTGAGAAAATAATAAAAGGCTTTCTCAGAAAGAGGGAGCTTCTTTGAAGCAGAATAACAAGCCACGGCAGAAAACAGTTATTAGGTTGAAGAGCCTGGAGGGAACCAGATCAGACTGACTCAGATGGCAGAGAAAAAGTTATTGCATCACCCTCTTAACTCCCAGCACAGGAAAACTGGGTGATTGCTCCTGGTGCTTGACAGGAGAGTCATCAAACCTTCGGAGCGAGCACAGCGTCACCCTTGACTGAAGCGTTAAGGTTTGTGTTTACAGGGAGAAGAATCATTCAGATGATGCTCTGCAGGGATGAGGTCAGGGTTCAAACTAGTCAGGCGACTTTATTCACAGAAAACGCTGCACAGTCATGTTAGAACAGATGCTACAAAATGTCGTCATAGGCAGCAGAGCTGAGATCCTTTCCCTGGAATTGAGGGGGCCTCATCAAGCAGGAATCCATCCTCATCCCACCTCTAGTTCAGGCAATGCTGGGTGTTTTCTGACAGGGAAGTGGTCTCCACAGCTTCAGTACAGAGAAGCTACAAAGAACAGACATCCTGAGCTGCTTCCACATGCTGATGAACTCAAAGGTTTGAAGATCAGTCTGCATGAAAATGGTGAAGATCCAAGATTACCCGACTACAACTGGGCTGGAAATGGGATTGTTCCTGGTACCAAGGTAGCTCCACGTAGCAGGTTAAGGAGTAACCCCTCCCCCACATGTTGCTTCCAACATGCTTTTCAATCAATCTATTCCTAGAATCTATCCAAATTCTATCCCACTGACAGCAACCCTTCTATAAACTTGCACATCTTGACTGAATACCAACGATTCCTGGAGGGGTCACCTTGTATAACGGTAACAAGGCTTCCCGACGTCATCAATTTTGGCCCCTCCCCCTCCCCTCTAAATGAATCCCTACCTAAGGTAGTTCCACCCAAACTGTGGAACAACCTGACCCTCTGTCTGAGGGTTCTCACTGATCTGCACCTTTTTAAGTCCAGATCAAAGACTCATTTTTTAAACTGGCTTTTAATACTTAGGACACATTATTTTATTCCTATTATTTTAGTATAATTTTTTTGCAATGTTTTTATCGTTCTATGAAGCCCTTTGGTCTTCCTAGTGTTGTTGTAAAGTGCTATATAAATAAACTTTGATTTAAATTTTAGATTTTAGACCCACAGCTAGTTCCTGATTTTATTGTCATTTTGTATCACAGAGTGTTTCAGAACATTTCCATTCCATAAAGTTTAGAAGTTAATGAACAATCCTCTTGATACAAGAAAAAACTAAGGTTTCTACAAAAGCTGCTTATCAATAACTTATTAGTCGATCAATAAGATCAATAAATCTATTACTGTCATCCCTAATTTCGGCATGATTTGGTCATTTATCAGTTCAAAAATTGCAGCAACGATGCAACTTAGTTCAGTTTGACACACTTTAGCTACACACAGCAAACACCAGAATGGAGCGCTTATACAAAAAATGACGACACATCGACAACCATCGCCTCAAAGAAAATCAGCATTTAAGACAGATCTCTTTTTATAGCTGTAATCTAACTTCTTTTTTATAGTTGAAAACCTTCAGAGACCCATCAGAGTCCTGTTTAATGAACCTCTTACTTTCGCTTTGTGAGAATTTCATCCCACCTCGCTAATAGCTGCTAATTAAAGACACATACCAACCAAATGCACTTTAATAGTCAGGTTTTAATGAGGTTCATAGACCAGAAGTCTTCAGTAAAGGAGGCATTTCTTTTATGGAAGCTAGTTTATAGTATCTAACATGTGAGCCATGTATAAACGGGTTTAATCTTTGTCAGACCGTCCCCACATTACTGTGAGTGGTTTAGCTGTTCCTGCTGCTGTGTTTACATTTCCAAGATGGATCCTGCACTGAGAGGGATGCATGTGTGTCGAGGCTCTTCCTGGTAACGTGACGCAACTGTGCACTCTACAGTGCAACTCAAACTCTTTTCTATCCAAAAACTGTCCAGGCTCTCTATAAACCCCCCCGTTTTCTAGCCTGGAAACACCTAACAAGCCTTTGACTTTTCCAGGATAATCTAAAGCAGGGAGAGCTAAAAAAACAAACAAAAAGAAACGAGAGGACTTCCTTTGTTTTCCTGGAACAATGGCGGATCCATGATCACAACAAAAACAAGTCAGCATGTTACTCCCACTCTATTAAAAGAACGACATTAGGAAGGTGACAAGCACCTTATGGCGCTAAAAATAGCTCTGATTCAATTGGGTTACCTCATGTCGGCCGTTACTCTACATGAGTGGAGAGTTCAGACTGAACAGGATGGAAGCTTAATGGGATTAAGGGGCAGGACGACCCGATGTGAATCCAGACACCTTTAAAGCTGGTACCGTAAAGTAACATGGGTAAACATTGAAGATCTGATTATATTAGAATATGTCCTTTAATATAATGTGATCTGTTCCCTGATATGGATGTTTAATGAGGTCCAAGCGCAGAAGGAACCTCCATCTATCTGTACTGATGCTGCAGCCAGCGGTAATTCAATCCACCGCCGCCCATCACTTTCAATAAACCACCTCATTCAACTAAACCACAACAACAAGGAGGAAAATCAGGTTTCGCTGGCCTCCCTGGGTAAAGGTAAATAAAGCTGGTTATTTCATGGACTCTACAGCTGGCTGAATGTGGAGCGTTTACCTGGAGCTCTACTGGAGCTAAACGCGCCGTGTATTTACAGGGATCAGCTGTGGATCCAACGCTGAGGAGGAACTGAAGCTTCTCTCCAACCACGCTGCAGGAGGCGGCCTGTCGGCGGGAAGAAAAAGCGAAAGCAGTTTAGATCAGGAGGGGAACTAAAGGCACAGACGTCTGAATTGAAAGGAACAAACATCTAAACAGGAATTTGATCGCTAAACAGGCGGCTGATTAGAAATGCACATGTCCCTTCAGTTACTCATCATAAGGATGGATTTATTCATTTTACAGGAAATACTGATAAAAAACTATTTTCTAAAACAATAAAATGAGTTTATGGCAGATTTTTCCCTGATTCATTCAGGATTAAAACAAACAAACGGGCTGAAACACGTTTATTCGTATCTGAATAAACGTTGCAGGTTTTACCTCCACTGCTCAACCAGTTCTCTAGTTGCTCCTGAACATAAAATCTATTTTTTTTATTTTATCCGATGTCACAGTTTGAGTTGGATGGTTTGAAAAGTATGGAGTGATTTTTGTTACATTCATGTTGCAGCAAAGAACACTTTTTATAAATGGAATTTTGAAAGTAAAAAAAACTATCTAGAAATTAAATATTAAAAAGTTGTTATTTAAAAAAAGGTTTCTTGAGTAGCTTTATTGTTTTCTTATATTTTATTTCTTTTTTGCACGTTGTTTATTGTTTTGCTGATTTTTTTTTTCAAACTTAAATCATTTGAAGTTCTCCTTTTCAGATGCAGTTTTACAAATAACATTTTTTATTGTGTTTTACAGATCGAATTCTCTTTAATTCAAGCCCAATATAAACATTTACTGTGAATTATAATAAAAAATATAAAATTGTTATCGCTAACATCTATGATGACCGATAGAAATGCGTCTCTGCTCCTCAGATCTGTGAAATCCAACCTCAAAAAGAAGGAAATTCGTAAAAACAAGCTGAAAAAGAGAAATGTTACAAAAAAATGTATATGAAAAAAATAAAACATGGAACTAATAATCTAAGTCGTTAACCGGGGTAACTTCATTTGTTATCATTGTCAATGAGCTCTATGTGAGCTAAATTGTATATGGGATCTATTTCCCACTGCTTGGCTTTTATTGGTCCTTTAATTCTGCTGCTCAGCTCTAAATCAGCAGAACCTCCATCTCTGAACTGATGGTCTCTCTTCTTCACCTTTAATCTTCTTAATGAATACTTTCTTAGGTGGACTGCATCACTTTTATGAAGTTAACTGGAGTTTAGAAAGCTTGCTGAATCTGATGTGGCGAATGAGAAGTATTCGTAGAAATTTTCAACACGACTATAAAACAGATTTGGTCCATCAGAGCCAATGAATCTACACATAGAGGATTGCTATAAACCTTCCTGAATTCAGCCTTAATACAGACTGATGGGCTAACACAAAAGAGAAATTAGCTCCACACTAAAAAATTAATGATCAAATATTCAGCTGCGATGAAGCTGTCTGCAAAGACTCAGCTGCTAAGAGATGCCATCAAATTAATGTAAGGGGCGGGGCTATGCATTGAGCATGTGTAGATGGCTAGTATGGAGGGTTAAACGGATTAAAAGTTAAAAAAAAATTAAATTTTACATAAAATACTGAAATGTAAAATTGAAAGTCCAATCAAATAATTAAATGTAATTAAAGTCTTTTGGATAATGGAACTTTGTTGATCTCACATTGGAGTAATTTACCTCTCCATTAAATTGGCCATTGTGGGGCGCCCAGGAAGTAATCGGTGCTTAAAGGTCGTGCTCAGAGACCCAGAGTGGCAGTCTTTGGGAGTGGGTTTCAAACTCACAACCTCATGATTTCAAGCCCTATGCTCTAACCACTAGGCCACCATTCCCTAAGTAGCAGACTCATCATGAAATAAAAAAAATCAGACTCAGTGGGCGGGGCTAGAGCCGCTTCCATAGAAAGCCTGATGTCTGATTGGCTGCTTCTCGCTGAAAAAGTGCGTAAAGTAAGAAGTAAAGCAACTTCTTCCTGAATTTATTTTACTCTTGAGTCAATAATATTGCTCAAAAAGGCGTAAATAACTTTGGAAAGGTGTTTATTAACATCATATGAACCCCAGCCTCTACGTTCCTTGTGTTTGGATTTCATAGGGGCTGAAACAAACAAAAAAAAACAACAACAAAACAAACAAAAACAATAAATTCCTCTGAAAACAGAGGAAGTCAGATTTGTAACCATGCAGAGGGTATGTAAACATCTAAACTGGTTTCTGTATAAAAAAACATAACATGTGACCGCATCACAGAGAGCTGAAAAAAAAAACCCCACTTCATTTGGTTAAAGCTGTTTGAAATCAGATTAAAGCGATCATAACCTGCAGGGCTGTAAACTACAGGACAATATTCTGAATGGGGTATAATGTCAAACAGCAGGGTTTATAAACACAGTCTGGGTTTATAAACACACTCTGGGTCTATAAACACACTCTGGGTCTATAAACACACTCTGGGTCTATAAACACACTCTGGGTCTATAAACACACTCTGGCTCTGGCTCAGACCTGCTGCAGCTCTAAAGCCAGGTCTCTGTGAAAGTCGCCTCCATTGCTTCAGTCAGAGATGCAAACTCACAGCTTCGTTGTAACGTCGGTGACTTTGCAGGGCTGTCGGCGTTTTTCTCTTACAGTGACGAGAATGAGGAACTTCACTCAGAACCGATTTGCATGTTGTCTTTAGACATCTACACTTCATTAATCCTGCTCTGTTGTTTGAGCAGGTACCGTCTGCATCGTTAATTCTTCACACACTGGTGAAGACCTACCGCCTTAAACAGACATCAAAAAGTGGTGGTTAAAGCCGCCTGACCCTTAACAGGGAAAAGTTAGATTTTTATGAAAAGTTCCAGTGATGCTTTTTAGGACCTTATATCCCACATCTTACTCCCTCATAGCCTTTTTCCTGCTGGAGCAAATCACCAACACTAACGTCATATCTCAAAAACCTTATGAAGGGTTTCCAAATTTCCTCATAGACATGTCTTTTTTGTTTAATTATTTTCCAATATCATGTTTGATGCCATCTCTTTAATCCATCTTCCAATTCTTGGAGTTTCAACGTATTTTTTCCCAATAGAGAGAGATTATACGTTTAGCTTGTAATATACACATATCTACTAACCTAGATTCTTTACTTATTAATGTGGAGCAGTTGGATATACGCCCAGAAGGAAAAGCTTGGGATGCAGCGGGTGGCTTCTTAGTTAATATCTTGTCAATCCTGTTAATAACATCTTGCCAATCTTGGTATAGTTACTGCTCTAAGTAGGTCAGTCAGCTAGAGCTAAGCTTTAGAGTCTCTCCAGTTAACAGTTAATCTAAAACTAATTTAGTTGAGGGTTATTTCAACAATCGATAAATCCAAGAATTTGTTTCAGCCTTGATTCTCTTATATTTGTTAGTATATTATTATTTTTTGTTTATTTAAATTTAAACTTTTGTAAAATTTTTTAAGTGTTCAAGAGAAAGAAGTATCTTCTTCAAAAATTTGCCCTGGAAAAAATCAGCAGCACAAAAGAGCGGTCAGTTAGAACAGGGCTTTCAGCCTGGGACACCAAAAATAACAATGCAACTGACGGCGGACTCCTTAAAAATGCATATACAGAAGCAGCCATTCAAAACGGCCCTTCCCAGGCAAACGCCAGCAGTATGGCAGCCCACTTCCCTGCAGCTCCCAGTGAAATCCCCTCCAACTTCCAGCCAGTGGCCTTCTCCTGGACGTTCATATTTATTTACTCTGACTCCACCCTTTTACTAAATTACAGGGTCTAACCAGGAGATGATGCTTCTCTTTAGATCTTAATGTCCACAAATCCTGACAGAAAGAATATTTTAGTACAAAGACTGATGTTTAAAAAGGAATTGCAAAGGACTAGCCAAGGACTCATCAAGGAAAGAGGGGAAATTTTGCATGGCTACAACTATATTTATTTCACTCTACATTCATTTATGCAAATAAAGTGAATAATATGAAATGTTAAATCAATTTTTTCTTTCAAAATGATATTCAATCATTTAATTAATCTTTTTAAATGCATGTCAATTATTTAATGGGACATTTTAATCGTGCATTTAACATTCTAATGGTATGTCTTACATTTGACTCATGTGTTAGATCAATAAATAACCGTTACATCTAATTAGTTCATGGTAAAGTCATTTTTATGTCTTTCATTATATATTTTTCGAGCTTCATATTCCTCGGGGATGAAAGCATAAATATCCCTAACTTTCAAAGGTCTTTCAGTATTTCTTTTTGCAAATTCTCTCTGCAGCTCGGCTACATGGTTTACATCTGAGGGCGTAGAAAAATTTTTGGTGTTTACGCGTGTCTGCGAGGAATGCCATCCAACGAGGTGGTCGGGCCGGTAGCTCGTCTATCCCTGTAGTGTCTGTTAGACAGGACAGATCTACTGGGGTCTGTAAACTGTGGGGGAGAGAGCCTGAGTGGGAAGGCTTCCTTCCACAACATGTAATGACGTCCCATGTTTTGGAAGTTTGCTTATTATGATACGATGTAAGAACACTGGTGTCTCTGAGCTCCTCCCCTCATATCTAAGCTTCTTAAACACACAGGTGCTGCTCACAGCATGTGGGTAAAAATAAGCCTGTGTCGATTTAACAGCAGAGCTGCTGCTAAACATCACCGTCCATCAAAAAGAAAAGGCTGAGTTTGCACAGGGAAGCACGGCCAAACAGATGGTGCCAGGAACCCGGCGAGCAGCCCATCCCTATCTGACCTCTCAGGGAAAAAACATAAAAACTGGTTTGGTTTCCAAGCATTGTGGAGGTTGGCACAGATCCTGCAGCACTGATAAGATAATTAGTAAAGTTCCTCATTCATTTATTCATAGTCATCTGTAGTATTTGGAGCAGCATTAATAACCTTTTCACTTCTGTTATGAGCGTAAAACCATTAACTTTAAAGCATTTTATTGGCTTAAAATGCAACAGATTAAAACAAAGTCGTTTGTTAAGTGAAGGGAAAAGATGCATGGTTATCATTTTGGACAAAAAAGAAATCTAAACATTGACTTTCATCTCTTTGCTAAACAAAAAAAATCACACTAAACCAGCTTCATTTGATTTAATGTAAAAAATTAGTTAAAAAAGTGTTAAAATAAAGGCTGATTTATACTCAGAAACCAGGTGGTCTGCGCAGATATGCCCCCACCCCTTCTGCAGACCTCTCCAAAATTGTAAGTGACCGCAAACAGTGCCGCAGACAGGAGGCCTCTGATTGGTCAAATCTACATCCGCTCTACTCTATGTGTATTTCCTGTTTGGTACCTTACCAGCTTGTTTTGTTTAAATGACCACCATTGTGGAAAACTGCGCATGAAGATGGACCAGCTAGAAGAGCGAGGTGCGCAAGAACGCTGGGACCCTTTTTCCACCTGTATTCCCACTCTTTTTCACCCTCATGTCCCTCCATTGTCGCACAAACTTGCCCCCACGGCCTCGGCCGTATCCAGACCCACAGCTAGTTCCCGATCGACTCTCTTGTGTCGTGGCGGGCAATAACACAGCGCAGACCACGCTTCAATATTGGGCATAAATCAAAAATATCTGCGACAATCTCACTGCGACTCACTGCTTCAGGAGGATAACCAGCCCTTTAGTGCTGAGGTTGTCAACAGGAGGTCCGTGACCCCTAGGGGGTCCATGTAGGTACTGCATGGGGGTCACGAAAGTTTTGGTTGATTAGACTTTTTTTTTTTTTTTTATATTGCCCCTGCAATTTTTTCCACTAATTGAAATGTCTTTAAATACACATTAACATGAATTCAACGTAATTTTCTAATGATTCTGCCACCTGTGGACAAAACACAGAACTGCAGCACTCTTCTGCTCGTTCTCATTGCTCGTTTTTTTCACCTTACAATGAGTTGCCACTGGTGGCTGAGTTGATCCAGATGTCACATCCGCCAAACAGCGAAGGGAACTCACTATAAAGTAAATTAATGAAAACAGGCTACAGGCTCTTAGATGCATCGGCGCCGAACTACTGAGGCGTCACTCTTTAGTCATAAAGGGACAAATAAAAAGGGCATTATAAAGATATTTTTCAGTGCATCATTTCTCTTTAAATTGAGAAGGAAAATAAGATAATCTGCTATTTAAACGTGAATTTCTGCTCTTAAAAAATGTATTAGATATTGTGAATATGATATATGATAATTATGATTGCACTTTATTTAAATAGAAACAATCCTATGCCATCAGCAAACTGACGAGTTATATATGGAGTGATTTTTGTCTGTTATTGTTGCAAGCATAGGAACACATTTTGCAAATAGTAATTTGAAGAAAACGCAATCCAGAAATAAAACTTTGAAGTGTTTCTTAATAAAAAAAAATTTTTCTCAGATTGTATTTTCTTTCTTTTTTCCATAAGTTTTTTTTGTTATGTATGTTCTAAAAATCCTTTTTGAAGTTTTCTTCCAGGTTTCATTTCTGGGTTGCATTTTTTTTTCTCCAAATTTCCATTTACAAAACATCTTCTTTACTTGCAGCAATAATGGAACAAAATTTGCTCCATATTCAAATCAGAGGAAAATGCATTAAAAAAAATGTATTTAAATTTTATTATTAAAGGGAAGATGACTCGACAGAAATTCTCTGAAAAACAAAAAAAGTCAGAGAGCGACTCCAACATTTGCAGAATATTGACACAACAATGGAAGTGAAAAACATGCCGTACTTTACAGATTTTTGTTTGCAAAACATTTGGCAAACTCATTTATTTCCCTTCCTATTGTCTCTCCTCTGAGTTGGTCAATAAACAAATGACCCACTTGAAGCTTATGGCTGCAACATGATAGCATGCAAATTGATTGAAAGGGGACTGGGTATGCAAAGCGCCACAGGAAGGCCTTTAAAGAAAATGCCGTGGTGCAAAAACACAAAGAGGGAATTGATTGGTGAAATTTTGATGAATACGGGGGAAAATCCCAGCGTTATTGCAGGCAGGCTGACGAGTCAGAGCTCGTCAGCCGTTAGTTCTGGAGAGGTTCCATTTCTAATGAATTAAGGAAGGCCGATTGGATGGAATTACCTTGTTGGTGGCCGACTTCTGGAAGCTGGAAACCTTCCTGACGGCGAGTTCTGATGCCTCAAAGCCATCTTCTTCAAACTTCAACAGAAGAGAATCCTGATGAGAAAGAGAGAACTGTTTAACACATCTTAGTCGTGTGTGAGATTTATCAACAAATTATTGGCTGCCTTTCTCTACTTTATGACTTGATCCAGAGGTCATAGATTAGCGGACCGGGGTCAGATTTTATGCCAGATTTCAACATGATGTTGAGCCGTTTAAACACGACACCAATAGCAAAGCAGACAGTGGTTCTTTTAATTACTATGTTAATAACTGTGTATAGTTCATTAGACGGTTGGGAAAAAATACACTGATATAATATGTTTCACACCGCAATAAAGATCTTAAAAAAAAAAGATGTATTTGAGTATTTTATTTTTTACACTACCACTTGGAATTATGGGTAACCAAGAGCGTAGATTAAAACCATAACCGTTACGTCTAATGTGTTAGCGA